ATCATTTCTTCTAGCTTGTTCTGGTGAGCTTCTGTTTCCATGTCTTGTCCTTTTGGAGCCTCCCCAATGTCAATGGTGAACATCACTATCTTGGGAGTCATGGTAGACATCCTATTACTAAAACAAAACTTGTATGTTCCATCCATGTGAGCAGCAAATGTGTACTTCCCACTGGACTCTCGGTCTCCTTTATAAATTCCTTTATTGTCAGGTCCTGTAATCTCCATGTCGATGTCCAGGAAGCCACCCTCCGCCACCTCGAGGATGAGGCCCATCTTAGTGCCCGAGGTGACCCGCGAGAAGAAGCACTCCTCGGCGTGCGCGTCAATGCTGACGAAGTAGCCGGAGGCCGGGAACAGAAGACCGGCCAGGAGCACCAGGAGCTCAGCGACCGTCACCATGGTGGGGCTGGGGCCGAAGCCAGGACCCGGACCGCGGCCTCCAAAGCCACCGCCACCGCCTGTGACCTACCTCTTAATGTTTCCACCACTGCCCAATAGCACCACTGGCTGGGGATTAAACTTTGAATGCATAGGCCTTTCACAGACACCCAAACCATAGCACCATGGAGATAAGTAGGGTCCCTATCACTGTGGCACAGCCCAAAGCAAATTTGACCCTGCTATTTTTTTGGTTCAAATTTCACTCAAGAGCCTCATTCATGTCAAGCTGGGATGAACATGTGGTCAATAGGATGCTTAAAGGAAAAATCATAAAAGAATGAACATGGTATAAAAGACTAATAAATGGAAGATGAAATGACAGTCTAGCTTCAAGAAAAGAGGAACTTAGGAGAGTATGAGTTATAGAACCCTGACAACAGATACTCAGATTCTAAGAGAATTAAAGGAGTATATGAGAGGACACTGAAACCAGTCCAGCTGTGAGAGAGGCAAAAGTCCCCACAGGTGGAGAAGGGAGGATCAGGGCAGCACAACCTGTAAAAATAGCATGAAATTTTTGAAGTTCGAAAACACACGAGATGTTAAATGAAAGTTCAAACTGGTCTTAGGATCTTCGCTCTCTGAGTATATTCACTCATCTTCAAGACAGGTATGATGCTGTTTGTTCTCCTGGTGAACTAAACGTCCAAATATGTATGCACACACCTGTGCCGGCACACAGAGTGTCTGCAAAAGTGACTGGTACATCATAAAATTCAGCATAAATATCTGCTGAAGGAGCCCATCCACAGTGTAATGAGTAGCTGTACTTCTGATGTTAACTTTCAGTTGAAACTGTCAGCCACCCCACACAAGAATGGCATTACCATCTGCAGTGAGACTCAGAAGTATTTTAATCCCTTCCATGCCTTTGTGTAGACAGATGAGTACCAGCCATTCGGTTTAATATAAAATTATTGTCAGGACTACACTATAATTTGCTTCCTACAAATGTCCAGATGCCACTAAATTGAGCCCAAGGTCACCGGGTTAGAACAGACTGTCCTATAACTGATTGTCTTGTTTCTATTAGAGATGACCCAGGGCCAGATGTTTGCAGAGTCCACTGTGAACTTTCTGCAAATGGATGGAATAAAAATCGTCCCCAGATGATAAGCCAGAGGGCAACCGGAGCCCTTCTCCTGGCTGAATTCTGTTTCCAGCTGCTCTCTGGGATTGTACTTCCTGTTCTGGGAGATTTCCCATCAACTTGTCAGACCACTGTATCTCTCGCTTCTCATGGTAGCATTAATGTTGTACAGCGTCTCTACCTTGGGTACTGCTCAAACAAGAATCTTCTCTTCACTGAAGAATAATTTAGAGAATTAAATTTTTAACTTTTTTTCTTGAATGCGTTTTGAGCTGGCATCAATGTGACAAATGCATGGGCAGCCAAGTTCTCTGAAGTTGCTAAAAATATCTTGAGAGCAAATTATTTTTTTTTATAAGAAAACTACAGTTCAGTTTGTATTTCTACCTGCCCCAGCGTTAATATTTGCAAAACCCACATATCAAAAGCAATTAAAAATGTCAAATCTGGTGAACAGAATTAAGTGGTTGTTTTTTTTTTTTAACCTATAGATTTTTAACCCATTTGCACTGTAGGTCTCTTGAACCCAGGCACAAAATGCCAAGATCGGAGCTCTGAGATGCAGTGAATTCTACTCTTGGCTTCCTCTAGCTGCTCCATCCCACCAAGGGAGGAGTCCAAAGCAACAAGTGGATCAGCCCATACATCTCTCTCTCTTTTGTGAGACTCTGGATACACTGAACCACAAACTTCCTCCAAAACAGCCCTGAGCCTGCTTGCAAATCCTGCCTAGGCTATGTGTGCAGCAAAGGTTCAAGGAGCATCCAAAGAGTGGAAGCATATGGGGGTAAAAACAAGATACAGATGGGGAACCTGGGGTTTCTGTACATGTGCACCTTGGTGGTACGGGAAGATGGAGCTGAGTTCAGAGAAAGAAAGGGAACCAAACAAGAATTGGGCTGTAGGCTAAGCTAAAAACTGGTCGCTGTGGGATCACCACAAGAGGCATGTGAACTTTGAACTCAGTTTATCTACCAGGACATGAAGTTTTTTCTTCAAGCTAAGAGAGAACATGTTTTATGTGGCAATGTGCTGGCTTGATTGATGACACCTGCACATGAAGACATGTGGAATGTGGGCCACACCACTCACAAAATCTAGCCCTGGCTCCATAAATGTTAGGATGGAGCTGAATCAGAATAAATTTTAGCAAATGTAGACTTAGAAATAAGTGAAATTTTATTATGTTGTATTAATTTCTTTATCAAAACTAAGATTATGACAAATAATCCACAAGAAAATAGCGAGTTCCTGAGACTTTTTTTAAAAATTTCTCTTTTTTATATACTATTACAAACATCTAAAGAAAAGGAGAAGTTGTAGTATAAGAAATGCTCATATTTATCACTTAGGCTAAATATAACCTACTTGTGGCTAATCATGCATCAACATTACCCATGACCCGTACCTCAGGTTTAAAGCAAATCACAGAAACATATCATTTATGCCATATTTATGTGAGTATAAATATTTAGAAGATTAAGATGCTTAAAATACAACCATATATTACCACACTTAAAAACATGAATCACATAAAATGTTCAGTTAGTACACAAATGTTATAAACATGATACATATTCAAGTTGTCTCAGATGTACTCTTTTTTAATTTTTTGTATAGTCTATTCAAATCAGAATCCATATAAAGTTGACATCATGTCTCTTGAGATGCTTCTTCAGATATAGATTTTTCCCCATCCCTTTTTACTTCCTTGCAACTAATTGGCAAAGAAAACAGATTGTTTGTCCTGTAGAATTGCCTATCGTACGAATTCAGCAGAAATAGTCTCATCATGTTTCCTATATATTGATCATTAGATCTACAGGCTCGATTAGATCCAGGTTCAGTTTTTGGCAAGATCACTTAATAAATAGTATAGGGTATTTCCATCAAGAGACACACAATGCAAAATGTTTCCTTATATTATTTTAGCAACCACTGATGATCACTGACTAGACACATTCTCTTATTTGGAGTCATAAACTATATCTTAATATATTCTGATTATATCACTGCTTTTTCATTTACTAGCTAAAATATCTTATCTGAGAAACTTTTCCATCATCATCACTTTTTCATTGCTTTGACTAAAAGACCTGACAATAACAATATAGATGAGGAAAAGTTTATTTGGCTCAGTTTCAGAGGTTCCCTTTATGGTCAGCTGACTCCATAGCTCTGGGCTTGAGATGAGGCAAACATCTTGGCAGAAGAAAGGAACTCAGATCATAGCAACCAGGAAACAGAGAGAGGGAGCTTCTCTAAGCAAGGACAAAACATTAACCCCAAGGGATACCCCCAGTGAGCTATTTCCTCCAGACCCACCATACCTGCCTATAGTTACCACTCAGTTAATCAGTGAACTAACCAACTGATTAGGTTAAAAAGTCTCATATGCTAATCATTTCATCTCTGAACCTTCTTGCATTGTCTCAAACATGAGCTTTTGGAGGACACATCTCATAGCCAAAGCATAACAATGCTTTACTCATCAGTAATAAGATGATCTTCAAGCATGAGCTAAAGTTTTTTTTTTTTTTTTTTGGATGGTTCTGTATCACCATGAATGAAAATATTTAACATGCTATAACTTTCAATACAGGTAGTATTCTTCAAGTATAAGTTGAGCCATTTTTAATAGTAGAAGGCTTTTCAAATTGGATCTCGAGTCCTTTGAACAATAGTCTCAGGTAATGATACTCAATACTCCCTCAAAACTACCACTACTAAAAACAATGACATTTTTCCTTCGTCTTTTTGTCTCTTATACACCCATTTGTGAATGTAGAAACTTTTAATATTTTAAATCACTTCAAATGATCTTTTTCTGTGTCGATTTGCAATCAACTAAATTTGCCATCAATTTTCAAAAAATAATTGTTAAGTTTCAATTATATTAAGCATGTGTATATTTCTAATAGTCAAATCCTCAAAGAACATTTATTCAGAAAAAGCTTCTATTTTCATCATCTTGCTTTTTTCTATTTATAGATAACTATTATTTTAAGGTTTTACTTTATCCTTCCAAAAATATCTCATTCCATATTTTTGTGTACATATATACACACATCTACCCCACCACAAATCCCACTTCCTTCTTAGGTAAAATAGGGCACAATAAATATATACTTTTTCCAATCTGATACTTTCTTGTTTTTTGGAAAATTCTAAATTTTATTGTATATGAAAATAAGGAGAAAGTACAGATTGAAGTACTTTTAAAAAGGAAAAAAAACTCAATATCTTTAAAAAGCAGTGTTGTATAAAGGACAAACTCCATAAATCACTATATTAACATCTAATATTCACTCCAAATCTAACTGAAGATCAATATCTCCAATTGTTAAGAGTTCATTAATCAAGTAATTCTGGAAAAAGGCATAGTGATATTTGAATTTAATTAATTTGAAATTTCATGTTATAGAGTTGAAACTATGTTGAAAATAGTTTCTTGTTTCTTAGGCAAAATGAGAGAATTCATCAATTACAAAGAACATATTTCAAGTAATAATAGATACACTTACAGTTTTTCAAAGATACTGAAATAAAAACTCTACTATAATAGCATATATTTAAAACACTAATACTTGATCCCACAATAAAGACTACACTCAAGCAACCACAGAACTTTCAGGATAATGCATTGATTTTTGTGGTATATAATAGGATTTGAATATATCTGAAGGGATGGGCAGACCTGAGTTAAATCCTGATTTGACCAGTTTAATGGGTTATATGACCTTTCTCAAATTATTTAATCTTATTTTTTATTGATAGAATACATGTTAATATATCCTCAGAGGATTGTAAGCAATGATATCACATGTTTTCAGCATGCAAAAAAGAAACTGGCACACTATTTATACCCAACAAATATACAATAGGAGTTGATATACAGTAATGATTAAGTCCCCGACTGAGTTCCAACACCAGCTATATACCTT